TATTGGTCTGCTTCCACCCTGTTGCAAATACACTTGTATTCAGTGTGAATTGGGGCACCAAGGCGGAGGGCCACTGCTACACGAAGGGATTCTGGATCTAGGCGCGTGCCCATTGCTGACATGGGTACTGCCAGGAGGAAGTCTCCTGCATGGGGGGCACGCACTGCTCTGAGGCGGGCTTTCTCCTTGTCTGATGTTGCGGCGCTGAGCATGGCATCAGCTACTTTTTCCACTAGAGGGTGGTCCCAGCCGGACTGTTTGTGTTGTTTTGTTGGCTCTATAATGGTGGCTGGGGCTGCAAGAACATCCCACTGATTTGAACATTCAGTGAAAGCAGGATCGTATATATATATATAAATAAATAAATAAATAAATAAATAAATATATAAATGATGTGCGCGGTTTCGGTTTTGTCACTGATATCATATATATATGATATGCGCGGTTTATGGGTTAAAGAAAAGGAAGAGTCCAAGGGAAAGGCAGCAAGAAAGAGCCGCTGGTAAGACCAAGAAGCCTTGGCAGGAGGAACAGGCTCGAAAACCTCCGTCCCCCACCCGAATGGGGCAGCCCCCAAAACCACCTGAGTCTCGGCCCCAACTAAACCTCGCCCTGAGCCTGAAACCCGCAGACGGTCCGGAGCTGGGAATAGGGAGGGAAAGGGGCAAACAGCACCTAACCAAAACGGGGTGGCCCCGGGGCATCTGGGTGGAAAACCAACCTAGCGTGTTGCAGCAACCTAATCTAGCTTGCAACACGGATGTTGCCTGTACTCTGAACAGTAATAACATCAGAAGAGTACTGGAGAACAAGCAGAGAATATATCTCGCAAGACTACGGGTCAAGATGTCAGTGACCCAAAAGGCAACATTACGGAGGTAAAAGTGGCGACTGTCACCCGGAGACATGGGCACAGCAACCAACGAACCCGTACGAGATGGGTTGAAACCCAGAAGACACATTCAATGGTCCACCGAGCCCCGACAGGGTTTTCCAGGGCCCGTAGGGTAACAACTACGGGAAGCCCGGGCAAGGTGTTGCTAACTGGTTAAAACCCAAAAACAACATGGGGGTAGAGGATAACACTGAAAACCCCTGCGACAAGTACAGTCACGGGGGCCTAGCAGAGGGCCACCAAACACTACCAGTGGAAGTACTGTATAGCAACACTAGGCAGACCCCTACCTGGCAAAGAAAATAAAAACAAAAGAAACCGTCCCCAGAGGCAACAGGAACCGGTCACCGCTTAATTGGCAGGTTGCGCAACACCTTGACACCCTAACCAGCACAATACCAGTCCCTACCCAGGGCCAAACAAGAGCCCCAAGGGCGAGGCAAATGCCGAGCAGCAAGAACCTCTATGGGAATGGTTCCCGAACGCTCCAGGGAAGATAATCCTGTCACGCAGGGGCAGTACTCACAGGGCGCACGGGAAGGAAGCCCTTAAGCGCATGCATCCCCGGTACTGATGAGCAACACCTGGTCACCGCACAACACAACACACGGCAGTAAACGCCACGATTGGCAAACACCGCCTAGGAAACTGAGGCTAGAGAAGCGCCTATCCCGGTTGACATTAGATTACGAACTGATGCTAGGCAGCCGGCGTGGTAAGGTCCGAGGCTCCCCCCCTCCCCCTCTCGGGGCAGGGAGGGCTGCACAGACGATCAGCATGGCAGTAAAGTGTGATGTTTGCTTGTCTGCTTGTTTCCTTGGGATTATAGGGAATTTCTACCTCTCTGTTCGGTTTTCTGTTTTAGTTTTTACAATGTGGGGTTTGTTTTGTTATGCCTACCTTTCTGGGTGCCTAACCCTGGTCGATGGCAGATAAGGAAAACCCCAACCATAAGGGGGTTTTCTAGGGCCATTACTCCCCGAAACTCTCTGAAGGGGCCAGGTTCTGGCACTGGTCCCTGGTAGGTCTGAACTCCTTAGCTAATGTCCTGGTCTAATATAACATGCATTAGCCCGACAAGCTCCAGGGAGCCGTAGGGGCTCCCCACAGAAAGGTGGAAGGAGGCAGACAGAAAGGCCAAGGACCGGACTGAACCCAAAGATTAAACCAACACACCCTGTTAACAAGCGAGGCAAATGGCATAGAACATCGTCGCTGCCTCCCAGAGCACAGGCGCATATAGCTTGGGCAAAGCCATTGATGATGAGCACTGCAGACACCAAAGCACCTATACAGTACTAGGCTCAGAGCCGAGCTCATCAGCATCCTCATGGAGCCAATCAGCATGGAACTCCACGAGGGCCAAAAACCACACAACTAAAGTCAAGTGCGAATGAACCCAAAAGTTCTCTGCCATGAGGGCTGCAAAAAGCAAAGGCACTTGGGCATGGATCTGCATCAAGCCCACATCCCGGGAAAGAGTGAGATCAAATGGGCAGTCATTGAAGGACCACCCAACAATTGAAACATTCGACATGTCATGTCACACAAGTGTGTAGGAGTGACAAAAGCCGTGCCAAGCCCCAAAGGAAAATAGAGGATTGTCTGCTGGCCAGGAAGACTCTGGAACCTCAAAATACTGTACATCAAATACAGAGAGGAAGACCCAAATTCAAAAGATGCAGGGTCCATCATAGAGGCAAACTCCATTGGTCTCGTAGGAGTTACTAGAGATCCACCTAAGCCACCAAATTGGGGAATCCAAGTGGAAGGAAACCTCTGAAAGAATGCATCTAACAGACTGAGAGGCACCCAGAAATGAACCCTGGGGGGGGGGGGGCACAAAGGTAAACTCAGAAAAGGAGGGTAGATATGAAACCCTTCCCCTTGAAACAAAAGGCCCTCATCAAAGGGGACAATGGTCTAATTGGGGTACAAGGAAACCCAGGGCTCCTTATTGGACTCTACCCCCCAAGCCACAAAGTCTTGGAATCCGAACACAAAGGCTCCAGGGAAGCTGGAGTCCAAAGGAGGGGCTTCAGAGGAAGGGGTCAGCTGGAAAAAAGAAAGCCCTGAAACCTCAGTGGGACTAGGTAGCTCAACTGCCTCTACACATGAAGTGGAAGGAGCCATCACCAAGAGAAGGCCGAGGCCAATCCCAAGATAAGCCCTGCCCTGACTCGGACACCCTTGGACGTTTTTGAGACAGAAGCAAGGTGGATAGGAACAGAAGCAGAACATACCACACCTAAGGGGAATGAAAGAAGTGCAGATGGAACCAAAGGGGAATTAACCAACACCTCCAATTCTGTGTCCCTAACCACAAGATGGGCCAACTCCAGGGTATCTAATCAAGCACACAATTGAGACCACTGCAGCCAGCCGAAATGAACATGCAAGGCAGAATAATTATCAAAATAAGGTGCCAAGCTGGAGAGACTATGTAGCACCACTGCAAGGCAGAAGCTTCTGATACTCTTCATGTCAGGAGGGGTCAGAAAGAAGAACCGTGGGGACAGCAAACCCCACAGAATACGGGGTCATAGGTGTCACTGACCCAAGAGGTAGCCACAGGGTGAATGATTGTCACCCTGTGGCACGAACAACGAACAGCCCTCAAACTCGCACAAGGCGAGAGTGGATTCGGAAGGGATATCCATACGCCATACCAAATCTGTATGCGATTTCCAGGACCTGAAGGGTAAACCAAGCAGGATACCCCTAAGCACTTTGGATGCTTGATGGATATTACTGTATATACTGTGGTAAGCCAACAAGCTTAGGCAACATTGCTGTTATGGCCAACCTGGGCATGCTGTATGAAGAAGCACATAAACCACCAGTGTACCTCAACCTCAAAGTCCATAGATGGCCAGCACTTAGCTGAGAAACAGTGGGACCTGCCACAGTGTGCTGACTACCCATGAACCCTACAGCAGATATGGTGCCCAATTCGCATCAGCGGCTGCCATCTATCATCATGCTATCATGCAAGAGGAGCCACACATCTATGGTTCATCCAATAAAATCAGCAGGCTTCTAGATGTTACTACTGCTCGGCTTAGACTCGGTTACAAGTATCTCTGGGAATTCTCATTATCTGCCGATGTAGACCTGACCAAATGTAAACTGTCAATGAAATTATTCGTACACCCTCTGTCACTATGTGATGGAGTGCGAAAAGATGTGAATTCAGAGACAATTCTATAACCAATGTTCCAATGATATGTAAATATTTAATTCAAAATGATCTGCTACCAGAAATTTTAACCAAATATCCCCAGTTTGCTAACTGTAGGTAACCTATCCACCGCTGCCCACTGGATGAGGGGGCGGTGTGCAGGACAAACATATCAATTGTGACACAAGCTCTCCACATATGTCAGTTGCTCAATTTAGAAACTGTACTTGTGGTTGATCTCGAACCCATTGTTGATGTGACGACTTATACTGAATTTTGTAACTAGCTCATCAAAATTGTAACTTGCTTAGCTAGATGAATTGTGGGGTTCAGTCCCTGAGCCCATTATGTGCCTCTGTAACCCTTTTCACTACTGCCCATAAGATGGGTATGGGGTGCATAATAAATGAACTAAACTAACACACTGGGCTTCATAGCCCAGTGAGCACTGAAGGCTCTCAGGCCCTAAATAATGGGGGGTAGTGCTAACGAGCTCATCTCGTGCTAGTTTCAAGAGATTTAATTGTGTGTTTATATTGTTGGGGAGTTTCATTTAACAGTTTTGAGGCTTCAGTCTCTTTGAATCCAGCAGAAGTCTGTACTCGTTCGCTGCCCTTCTGGATGCTTTCCCAGTGGGGTGGCAGTGCCACCTGCTCTCTGCATCTCAGAGAGGGAGGACCACAGGTTCTGGATAGAACCCCAACAGTTCTATCAACAGTTAGAACTGTTGGGGTTCTATCCACAAAAGCCCCAACAGAACTCCATGTGATGCTGGAAGCCATCTCAGTAAGATAGCTTCAGGGAGCCACAAGGGGCTTTCCCCAGAAAAGTTGGAGTATATGAGAATAATAGTTATAAAAATCATATTTGTTACCAGAGAGAAAATAGTTACAAGTTAGTTGCCAGGGGAAATAAACAACTTACCCATTTGACGCAAGGACCCCAAAAGAACACAGTTTTGGGACCTGTGGAGAAGAAAAACACATTGTGAATTGTATTAAAAGCAATTGCATATCTAATCTGATTATGTCATTAACCACAACATTACCATCATTAATTCCCCTTTTCATAGCAGGAGATGGCATCTGAAGAAAAAATAAAATGGAAAAAAAAAGAAAAATCAGGTCTAATATGGCAACACGATGGTGAAATCAAAATTAATTTCTTGTAAGTAATATAATTATGGGTAATATTACCCCCCCCTCCCTTCCCCATCAGCAAGATGGTGCTTCTGCATCCTCTTGACATCACCTTTCCAGGATGTCTTTTCAAATCTCGCAATATTGTGAAAAAGGTACCCCAGAATATCACCAGCTGTTGGTGTGCTATCTTATCTTGAGGTTATCTTGAGATGATTTTGGGGCTTTTAGTGTCCCCGCGGCCCGGTCCTCGACCAGGCCTCCACCCCCAGGAAGCAGCCCATGACAGCTGACAGCCAGGTACCTATTTTACTGCTAGGTAACAGGGGCATAGGGTGAAAAACTCTGCCCATTGTTTCTCGCTGGCGCCCGGGATCGAACCCGGGACCACAGGATCACAAGTCCAGCGTGCTGTCCGCTCGGCCGACCGGCTCCCTGGATGATTGTGCTAGGATGATTGTCTTTTCTTGTCGCGTCAATCGTATTATAAGACATGCTATTATTTTTCCTTCTTACTGTGTTTGTTTATGTATAGGTAGATGCCGAATGGCCTATGTACAGGGGTACCTCAGTAAACAAATTTAATCCATTCCTAGAGACGGTTCGTAACCCAAAAATTCGTAAAACGAAGTGAATTTCCCCATAAGAAATAATTAGAAATGAATTAATCCGTTCCCGACTCCCCAAAAATTAACTTCAAAGCAAATTTTATACCTAATGCGCCCAAATCTTCACTACAAAATTATGTACAAGTTATTACTTACCTTTACTGATGACTCCTGTTGGAATATGGAAGACGGTGAGGAGGGGGAGGAGGAGGATAGGTGTTACTGTTTGGAAGGGGAGTCCCCTTCCATTATAACATCAGGCAGTGATGACTTCTCTGGGGTACACACTCTGGCACGTTTTGCCTGCATACCACTAGGACCTGCTTCTGGCTCACTGCTTGATTTTCTCACTAGAAATTGTTCCATTGAAGATTGTTTTTCCCTTCTTTGTAACACTTGTCTGTAGTGAGACATCACATTGTCATTAATAAGATCAATGCAATGGCCTGCTACAGCTTTATCTGGGCAATTCTTTTCAGCAAATCTTTGTAGTTCTTCCCATACTGCACACATTTTCTTAATTAATGAGGAAGGGACATCCTCTACTGCCTCTTCCTCCTCCTTCCCTAAAAATTTGTTGTACTGCCTAGCTAGTTCAACAACACGTGTACAATTTTCATGTTTACAAACGATCTCTTGTCTTTCCACTATGGTCATTCTCACATGTGTTTTCTTGCCTTGAACCTTACCACTGGATTCCTTGGGACCCATGACAAGATATATAAAAACAAATTTTATGTTCAAATAGCCAAAAATCCGAAAAAACTGTAAATCCTTGCAAAGAATTTAAGGGCGATAGGTCAGCCATACACGTATCAACAAACTCGTTTCCGGAGGTAAGGTTCCTAATCCGATTCAAATTTTCCGAAGAAATCGGGCTCGTAACCCGAAAAGTTCATAAAGAGGGGCATTCGTAAGCCGAGGTACCACTGTAATTAGTTAGCATAGAAGGCAAGCTAAATAATATGTTAGACTACCAATACTGTAATAGCATACAAAAATTACGTCATCATGCCCTGCCACCCCATCACAATTACTTGCTGCTACGCCTCGCATATAATGCACATATATAATACAACCCGAGCATAATTTCAACTCGCTAAATATTACTCCAATACAGTATTCACAATAGCTGTTTTTGTAGTACAGATGTATTATGGCATACATTATACCTTATAGGCAATGAATAAGTGTCATTATAATAGTAAAGATTTGAGCAAGTGAATTATGGTTGCAATATATTGCAAGAATTTTAATACAGGTCAATAAATGATATATCAGGGCAAATGTTTTTAAATATAAAATAAATGCAATAACATATGTTAATAAAATATCGCTATGCCAATTTCCATAAAAATACGATTGAATTTTACGAAAAATAATACTGTACTCTATTTGGAGGGGATTTAAATATTTGTTATCTTGTTTTAATAGATATTTGGCTGAATTTTGTACATGTTGGAGTACAGATCCCAAACAACTGGTATGGCAACTTAGAAAGAAAGAAATAACAGATTATTTGTATTACTGAAATATTGCCAGAATATAACATTAATTTTTGTTGGTAATTATTTATTACAACTTTAAACTCTAATTGCTGGATTAATTTGCAAGCAATTCTCATAAATCTTTTAACTACCCTTATGTAATTACACTTACTATATATATATTTTATTGTTCTAAGCAAATAATACAGTGCGAATCTTGGCGACACAAATTTATTTGAGCATTCCGAAGTTCCACACATTATAAATTTCTCAAGACACAATATTGAATAATACTTAAAAAAAAAAAAAAAAAAAAAAAATGAGACACTGAAATATGTAAAAATATCTTCGCAGCAACTCCCGCCACATGCCTTGGAGCGACCACTACGGGGAGATTGCTCGGCTCGTGAATCATGACGTTATCGCAAGACTTCTAGGCTTCATGTCCTGTAAATCCACACACAAATTTTTTTATTGTTTCCTGTGATCAGGAAACACACTTTAACAATATTAGAAAGAATAAATATTTTTAATTTTTTTCTTGTGCACTGGGGAATGTGTTATTATACGGAGTGCAGCCCAGGGGTTAATGACATAACCCACAAACAAAAACAAACAAGCCCGAAATGAATTCACGGTATGAAAAAGGGAGGAGGAAAGTAACTTTGATAAAGGTATAGTAGACAAATACAAAATAGAACCTAGCCGTTTCAATCAAATTCGTAAGACGTTAATTGTATGTGAAAGGTAAAATCTAAAGATTAAAATGGGCAATAGATTCAGAGTCAAAGATATGAGCAAAATCCAACATAAGCAGTTTCAGTGTGCATTTACAAAAATGAAGTTTACATAGTGCCAGGCTCATTGCATACATTGGAGAAAACCTAGAGGACCTGCATAATTTTAAGAGATAATACCTGTATAATAAAACTGATTTAAGAACCCTTTAACTGCGCAACGCGCCTGCAGGCCCATGTCTGGGGTGCGCTACGTGCCTCCAGGTATTTGTATTTTCACATTCCATTCAAAACTCCCAGAGCTACATGGGTTCACATCAGCTTCCATAGGGCTCTTGTAAACAGACGCCATCTTTAAAAAAAATCGTGGTCCACATTCCCAGGTATGAGAGCCTTAGTAGCGAGTGAGCAACCAAGGCCGGCGCACGCAGCATGAGCGCACAGCACTGCTGTTCAGTGTGTGACCACAGCATCGCCTAATAATGTCAAAAAATATACATAACCTGTATTATTTAACCATGATAGTATTAGAAAGAAGAAGTATTAGAAGAGCCCGAGTGTGATAATGACTGGGTACAATGTTCAAATATCAGTAATTCAATGCTGTTCATGATGTTCACAGCGGCAGCCACAGCACCACAGCATTATTTCGTTATCTAGGAATCTTCAAATGACTTCTTAGGTTCCTTTTCAAAATAAACTTGTGGTCAATTATTCATTTGCAGGAATTAGTTACCAGAATTGTGGTTATAATTAGCGTTGTGCATAGTATTGTGGAAGGAGGAATTTTGGCGAGGGAGAGAGGAAAGGAGAGAATTGACGTAGCCTCACTATGTGTGGCAGTCACTCTTGTTTTCTCACCATACTAGCTTCGTGGTTCGCTATGGGGAACACATGTACATGGGTATATACAGTGTGTGTGTATATAGTGTAATAACAGAAACAGGAGTGTGTTGAGAGGAGCTATTTTGGTGAAGGAGGTTACGTCGTAATCGTAGCATCGTCTGCTGTGTGATTTCTCATGCAGTTTTTTTTTTTTTTTTTTTTTTATTATTTTCTACCACAGACGTGGCCACACATTTACAATGCTAACCAGCATATATACATTTTCTTCTGTCCTCCATGGACAGGGTTAGAGAAACGTTAAACATATAGTTCAAGGGTTTATTGAACACTCAACCACAGAAGGTGATTCGGTGCTTTTAAAATGCTAAGCTAACCTACATACGTAAATACATAGATACACAAATTTACGTATGCCCTACATAAAGTGTTTGATGTGTCTTACATAGTGTCATTAATGTACATTCGCAAAGGTGAAATGTAATTCTGATCAGCTTCCATATATACTTTATACCCATACATATACATACACACACACATATACACACATATATACACACACATGCATTCACATACATCTGTCTCATTTACTCTGACAGGGTGAGATAGCTGATAAAGAAACTAGTGTGCAATTAAGCACTTAATCACTGAAGGTGATGCACTCTCCTCACACAATACCGACTTACTTGAATAGTTCTGGTAAATAAAACATGTAGATAGGTATATATAACATGTATAAATAGTGTAATAAAAACAGTAAACATGTCTCATTGAATATGACCGCATATTCTGTATTTACTATCTTCTGATTTAGAGCTTCTATCTCTCTAACTATTTTCTTAGCATCAGGGCTTAGCTGAAAGAGGAGTTCTCCAAAACTCATTTTCGTAATTTCAAGGTGAAGAAAAAAGTGAATTACTATAGAATGTATTACACTTATTTATACAATTTGCACAACGTTTCGAACCTTCATGGTTCATTCTCAAGTGAAAAGAATTTACAGAACTGGTGGTGGGTAGAGTAAATAGTTCTGTGATTTGTGTGTTCATGGTAGGTTGTTCTATTCTTATGTGAATTGCTTCAAGAATTTGTAATCTTCTTGCATCTTGGGTTTTGTCTATTATACAGGTATTTTTGTTCAACATTTCTCT